GCAAGGGGGGTGAGTGGCTGGGGACGCTGCTCCCTTTTCAGTGCACAGGGAGGGCAGATTTGGGCTTGTTTCGGCGGAGAGGGGACATAGTGGCAGCGTCCAAGCGCCTGGAAGGGCGCTCCAAGGAGGAGGGGAAGCGTGTTCCCTTGGCCTCCGGGGACAGGCCGCGAAGCAACGGGCTCACACCGCGGTAGGAGGTTTCAATGAGACTGCTGCTCAGAACTGGACCTCATGGGCGGACACGATGGACACCCGTGGGCAAGAGGCCTGATTTCAAATCCTGACCCGGATCTGGCCTGTCAGGAGGGGAGCCACCTAAGCTGGCCCGTGGGAGCTGCCAGTGAGACGTGCGCCCCATCTCAGAGATGGGCACCTATGCCCAGGCCTGCCGTGGGGAAACCAGCTCTTAGGGCATGTTATCTGAGGAGGAGCAGCTCTTTTGCACCTGTTAGCCTAATGGTTCAGGCACCTGCCTGGGCTAGAGGAGATCTCCCAGTTCATGCCACCACCACCCACCCATGGGGAGAAGGGATTTGAACAGGGATCTCCCAGTTGCGGCTCTAACCACTAGGCTACAGGATCTCCTGACATGGGGCTTCCTCTGTCTCTCCTGTTTCCACCATGGATAAGTGATGAAAATCTGAGTGGAGCTGGATTCTGGGTATCCCACATCCTGTGTGTGTCCTGTAATCCGCAAGTTAGAGTCCTCTTGCCCTCTGTACCACACTGCGGCTTCCTGAGGGTTAGAAATTCTTTGCAGAGCATCAATTCACCTGCTTTCTTCTCTGTTTGCAGAGGCATCAGTTGGACCATCTGCCAGGAAAAAGACAAGAGTCATGGCCAGGGCTAAAACTTGGATCCTGACCTTGGTTGTGTTGCTCTTCTCTGGGACGTGGGGCACAGTGGGTAAGTACCAACCATTCCCCTCCACACACACACACACACACACACTCCCCCAACCATTGGTTGTTACACACACACACACACACAGAGTCCCCCACCCATTGGTAGTTACTGACATATTAGAAGGTCCC